AGAGTGGGGTTATGTTCGAGTCGGACCGAGCCCGACTAGGAGTCTATGAGAGTTAGATTCAGCTATAGATTCCACCATAACGCCCCACATGGAAGGGCACCATTCCTGGTGTCCGCCCCCCCCGCCCCGCTCTCTGGGTGTTTCGCTGTCGAAGGATTTGTCCAAAGTAGCCGTCCACGAAGCGCATTCTCACATATTCCAGTCAACTTCAGGCGCCGTCCTATTCCAAGGATCGAGTGGTGTTCCCCCATCCCTCGGCTTCAGGGAGTGGGCAGGTATATTGTGTTTTCCCCATCGCCTTCCTACTTCATGCTCTTTCCTACCTCTTCCGACCGAGAGGTGCGGCCATGCGACGATCCGCCGCGCCCCACTGCACGGGCGCGCTGGGGCCGCAGTCGCGCGCGCACCCTTTTACCAACGTTGATCCGCGCGCCCCCTTCCGTCGGAGCCCGGACCGTCGCCTATGGGGCATGTCGGGGCCCTCTGAGAATGCTCCCGGGGCGCTCGTGGGGGCCTCTGGGCCCTCGTTGGGCCTCAACTCAAGGCGTTTACTAAACGGCCCTGGGCGTTTACTAAACAGCCCTGGCCTGTTTGATTCCTTCTTTTGGTGCCACGGCTTCGCGTACCGGGGTGGTTCCTTTCGGGGTGGATATTCTGCCCTCTATCAATGTCATGGTGAGGAACGGGAGGGAAGTTTGTAATGCCAGATGACCGCGGGCGACCTGTGTGCGCCGTGCTGCGCCGGCGTCCCCCGAGGCGCTCTCGGGCGTCGGGCCAGGAGCAGCGCACGGTGCACAGCTGCGATGCTGCCCCCAGGGGCCGCAGAGTTGTGCACCGCATGCCGCCGGCCCTGGAGCGGGGCCCGAGGGGAGCGCAAGCACGGCGCGGTGCACGGGCGCATGGGCGCGGCTCTTCGTGGGCGGGACGGATCTCCTGACGCGCTGCCTCGCTTCTGGCCCCCACGGCCGCGACGCCCTGGACACGGGGAGCTGTTGCTCGAGGATGCCACGCGCGGAGCGTATGCCCGTGCGGTCGCGAATCCACGGGGTCGCGCCCCAGAGTCCAGACCGCGAGGGTCCGGGTAATTCATCATGGACGTGCTCCCATGTCGTGAGTTCGGGCGCGAGTGCGCCAGTCTCGCCCCGTCGCCCTCTCGCCGACAAGCGCGGCGTGGGCCAGGGCCCGGCCGGCGGGGCCAGTCAGGGGCAACGTTAGGGGGGGGGGGGACAGGCTCAGGGGATAGCGCATCGACCTCCAGCCTTCGAAGGAGAGACAACTGCGCGAATTTCTTGGATCTGCGCTGGAGACCCCTGGCGGCGACTCATGCGCCGCCCATGGCCATGGCACGCTCCGCGCGCCGGGGAGGGGGGGTCCAGTGCAGATCCAATATTCCGCGCAGACAGTTGACAGTTTATGTGGATGCAGTTTCTGGGGGCTCTGGATGCGTGTTGCCACGCACGCACTCATACCCATGGTCAGTCATTCTTCCTCCGACTCCCCTGTGGGCATGGGTGTGTTGTGTTCGCTGGTCAAGTCCATCGGCGATGCATTGCCGATTCCAGGTCGGCGCTTCCCTCCCTGCGCTAGCCCACCCCAATATCGTTGCCCCTCAGGGGCAGGGCGGCCGGGGCCCGACGAGGGCGGGCGACCGCCCACCTCCGCGCCCACCCTGCCGGGCTTCGGCGATGGCCGCCTCGAGCGGTTCCGAGCAGGCGCGGCGCGGCGCCGCCGTTTGGGGCCAGCGGCGTCATCGGCGTGTCGGGCCATGCGTGGTTAAACCTAAACCGCCCCAAGTGGCACCTAGAACATTTACATCTGGCACCTGGAACTTGTAGGAAGGAAACCCCGACGAACGTACGTAGCCGCATTGTATCAGTTTCATAATGGAGCCGCGTTTGGTAACCTTGGGGCCATAGGTGTCGTCTTCGAGCCATTGCGGACCAGCTTGGAATTTGATTGAGCCAACATTGGGTCACGGGGTCATCTTGGGTCATGTCAGGGTCGATTCGGCGCCCCGCGGTGCCCCTGGCCCCATCTCAGCGCCATAGGGAATTTATCGGGGTATCGTTGGGGTTCGTGGGGCTACTTCGGGACCATTTTGGACTCGCGAAATCGCATTGCAATTGTGCCACGAGATCGCGCTGGGGTCATCATGGGGCCCTGATGGGGTTGTCTTGGAAACAGCGTGGGGTCGCAGTGGATCGCGTTTTCGTCGTGGGTCATCCCGGTGTCGCGCTAGGTCCCCGAGACATCCCATGCGTCGCGCGAAGGTCGCCTGGGGATCGCATTGCGACCGCGGGCCGCGATAAACCTCCTGCTCGCTATCCTACGCTGCGGCCGGGGGGGGCGCGCAGCTAAGCAGCGCGATCGCAGCCTGGGGGCGCGGGGTAGGTGGTCCGACCTTGGTCTTCGAATCGATGTTTGGGAGGGTAGCAGGGCGCGTGGCAACTGCGGGCTGCGCCAAGGTGGCTACGTGGTCTAGAGGGGGCAAAAGAAACAGGGATCGATGGACAGCGAGGAGGTCAGGAGACAAAGCAGGAGGGCGCGGAGGAGGAGGAACAGGTAGGAGGAAGGGGAGGATGACGATGAAACATATGGAAATACGACGAGGAGGAGGAGGAGGAGGAGGTGGACCAGAAGGAGGGGGAACAGGGGAACGAAGGGATGGAGGAGGGAGGGGGGATAGCGAGGAAGAGGGGAAACCCGAGATGATAAGGACGGGGAGGAACAGGGAGAGGCGGAGGAAGAGGAGGATATGTAAAGTTGCGTGTTGCCACTGAAGTAACCATGGGCCTCCAGAAGTCCCCAGAGGCCGCCAAATTTTCAGAAACGCCAAACAAGTTACAATCAGCAGTCATAACAACGAAACACTCGCCCCTGGATGCTCAAGCGTCGGGGCGTCGCCGCTGCCTCTTCCACTGCTGTTATATGTTGCCTGTGCCGTTTTTGCTATCGCCGCCGTAGCTGTTGCAGCTGCTGTTTTCGCCGTTGCTGTTCTCTTATGACCCCATCATCGCGCTCTGATGCTCGTCGTGCCGTTGCTGCTGCGCCGCCCTCCCGAGCAACAACTTGCTGGATGTGGCCATCGGTTCATGTAGTGTTCCTGGGGTTGATGCGTCGTCGCATTGAGGTCGTTACGTTTCGGGATGGCGATCGGAGGTGACGCGTCGATATCCGAAGAGCAGACGTCGGGCACCGATGATTCATCAGTGCAGGTGGAAGGTTCAGGATCGAGCATCGGGGATGCAGCATCGATGATCGAGGTGCAAGGATGGCACGTCGCGGATAGAACATCAAGGGTTGAGTCGAACATCGCAGATCGAGCATCGGGGGCGAACCCCACAAGCCCTGTAGGGCGTGGGGTGGTCTAGGGAGCGCACCCTTCCTTCTTATAAAATCCCTCCCCCATACCCACCCCCTGTGCAGGAACCCCGGCAAAAACCGTGCAATGCCTTGCGACGCCCCCCCTGCGCGGATCCCATACAAGACCTTGCGAAGGCCGTGCAACGACCCCTGCAATATCCCGCGTGCGCGTGCCGGATCCTTGCAATTACCTGCGCAGACCCTGCGACAGAATGCGATGGCAACGCAATGCCTTGCAATGACCATGAAAAGCCATCAGCCCTCTGGGCGCGGGCCGTTGAACTCTTCCAACTCCCGAGTACATGCAGGTGGCCCGTGCGTGCCCAGGCCCTGAGAGGGCCCCTAGAAGGCCTCAAGAGTGCCCAGGGGGGTTCCAAGAGGGCCCGAGAGGCCCCGGGTGAGGCCCAAAAAAAAACCCAAGATGACCCCCGCGACGGCTCTAAGAGCCCCCCCCCGACGGATGCTACAGCGGGGGGGGGGGGCAATGTAGCATCCGTTGGAGGGCCTCTTGTTGCCCTCTTGGAAACCTCCTGGGGCTTCTGGAGGCGCTGGGGGAGCCCGCGGAAAGGGGCCCAGGAGGGCCCCCAGAGGGCACCCGACGGATGCTACAACCGAGGGGTGCGTCGTAGCATCCGTCAGGGCCCTCATGGGGCACACTTGGGGTCCTCTTGGAGTCCTACCCGGGCGCTCTGAAGGCGCGGGGGGGGCCTGCACAGGGCCCCGAGACTGCCCCGGGCGAGGCCCGAGAAGGCACCCGACGGATGCCAAAACAGAGGGGTGCTTTGTAGCATCCGTTGGGGGCCCTGTTGGAGCCTTCTGAAGGCCCTCCGAAGGCAAACTGAAGTGCCCCGGAGGGCACCGAGAGGTCCCTCTTGGGGCTCGAAGAGGGGCGCTTGGAGCCTGTCACGAACAAGGCCTTGTTCGCGACAGGTTGTTCGCCCGTCCTGGAGCCCTCTTTGGCCCCGCCGAGACCGCGCTGGAGGGCCTTCAAGAAAAGGCCCAAGACGCCCCCCGCGGCCCCAAGGGCCAGGGGTACCGCGAGGGGGTTAAAGGGCAGCCACGTGCCCCCCCGTGCATGACACATTTCGTATATGACCACTCTTGTACATGACCAGTCTCGCATACGACTGCTGATATACATTGCCCTTCGGATCTGGCCTTATCAGAACTCATAGTTGTGCGGATGTCTTTGCCGGAGGGACCCCGGCCAGAATCCCACCAGCCCTCTGGGCACAGGTGGTCTGGAGCAGTTCCTCCTCCATTTTCCGGGGAGGGGGTTACGAGGGGGCCCCCCCTCACCCGTCCCCCTGGGTCTGGACAGGGGGGCGGGGAGGCGCTGGGGCGCTCAAGATGGCCCAATATGGCTCCCAGAGGGCATTAGAGAGCCCAAGATGACATCCAATGTTGTTCAAATATCGCCCAAGATGGCTCAAGATGGTTTCCAAGATCCTCCAGGACGCCCAAAAATCGCCCCAATGCGGGTCCAAGGGCCGTCGGGGCTTCCGCAGGACAGCCCCAAATGGCAACGTTTTTCCCGCATCTAAGGGTCAGATGCGTTCGTTTGACATTTTTGCAACAATTGCAAAGATGTCTCCATCGGGATTGGCTGGACCACCTCGCGCGCGGCACGGCTGATCCTAGAGTCAGGAGATTGGTTCAGGCGAAATTGGGCGGAACACCCAACCGAAACGGACCAAGTCGGCTCCGACCGTATCGGAAATCCGACTCGTCCTGGATGGGTCGTAAAACGGGCCCGACCATTAAAGCAATGCGCAAATGTCTCTGCTGGAAAGCCTCCACCCAGAACCCCACCAGCCTCGTGGGCTGGACGCAGGTGGGTTAGAGAGTTCCCTTTTCCATCGTTCCTCTCCCCTTTTCGGAGAAAGAGGTTTACGGAAGGGCAGGCGCTGGAACGTCCCAAATGGCCCAGATGCCTCCGGGAGGGCCTCGGAGATCCCATGATGACCGTCACCATGGTTCAAGGTGCCCTAACATGGTTTCCAAGGTGCTCCAGGACGCGCAACAATCGTTAAAAAACCGGTCCGAGTGGCCTCTGGGCGCCCCCTACAGGTCAGCATTTCCTCCAAACCCAAAAATGTTTCTCGCGAGTAGGTGGTCTGAATTGAATTGGACTGATCTGGACCGAACTGACCTGACCGGTCGCGCCCATTAGGCGACAAGTTTATCTTCGGCCGGTCGAGGGCGCAACCTACGGCGCAAACGATAGGAGGCCGTTGTATTCCTGGCGGCCGGGGGCGCAACTGATGGCGCAACCAATCGGAGGCTTTTTTATTCTCGGCGGTCGAGGGCGCAACCCATGGCGCAACCAGGAGGCCGGTGTGTTCTCGGCGGCCGAGGGCGCAACCTATTATGGCGCAGCGAATGGCTGACCGCGCAAGCTATGGCGCAGCCAATCAGCAATTGTAATATCGGCGGCGCAACGCGCGACCTATGGCGCACCTGATGGTTGTCGAGCTCACGAAACCGGAACACGAAGAGGATGAGGACGAGGACAAGCGATGAAAATCACGACGGTGACGACGACGACGTTGACGGCGACGGCAACGGTGACGACGACGACGACGAGCACCGCCAACGCGACGACGCCCGAGGCGACGACGAGCACGCCGACGGGGCCCAGACTGCCTGGACATCGAAATACGCGGGGGGGCACGCCCGATATATGCTCGCCGTTTGGGCTGGCCGTTGGGCCCAAGCGGCGAACTGTTCGTGATCGAAAGCGCCACCGCCGAAACCCAAGGGATTCCCCATAACTCGAATGGTGCAGCCAGGGCAATCTCTGTGTAACTGTTCCGTTTCCTGTCCCACCTCTACGTGTCAAATCCTAGTCATGCGTGCCACTCTTCGTCGCCCGCATCTCATTCACTGGCGTTTGTCATGACCGACGTCATTTGCATCATCGTGATGTTCATTGCCACCATTATCTCACCACGGTCGCCCCCTGGTTTTTGCCACAACCGTCGCCGCCATCTCTGGCACACCCGCGACCGTTCGCATCGTCGCAGCCAATCGCGTCGCAACCACCACGTCGTCATCGCGCGTCACCTTCGCAGCCAACAATCGCAAGTTATCATCACGTCATCATCAGACCGTCTTCGGGGCGTCAGCATCACGTCATCATCGTTGCATCATGGATCACGTCGTCATTTTCGCGCCCACATCATCGGCGCACCGTCGTCATATTCACGCGAAAAAGCAACACCTATCCGATTTTACGAACCCAATGAGGCTGACCCTCTGGGGGGGGTCAGCCTCATTGGAGACGGCGGGATCGCAAGGCCAGGGCGATCGACTGTTGCGTTCAGTATTATATATATATACAAAAAGC